TTTTTGAGAAAAAAATCCCAACACTTCATTGATTCCTGCCTGGGGATAAGAATGATGGAACTTAGAAAGTCTTTATTGTAAGTATATTTTTTGTGTGTCACTGTAGTTATGATCAGGTTTGTGAGATTCACAGACATACAATTAACCATGGCAGTATTAGGGACTGCAAGCCCCAAAAATGGGAGACTGAGCACTGAGGTGGGACTTAAACTGCAGGTGGTGTGGGAGACATTTAAGTAAAAGCCAAATTAAGCCACAAATAAAAATGTATATTCTACCTACCAGAAACATTATTCCCATATATTTAGACTTAAAACCCCAAAACAAACCAAAACAAAACAAAAAAACAAAACCAAAAAGCAGCACTCTCAGTAATCTCTAAATAAAGTACCAATATGTCTTCTGGAGTAGAAACTGATTTAGATTCTCTCAAACAAGTACCCTAATCACTGTGCTGCACAATTCTTGTATTATCCTGCCGATTTAGACTACCTTAATTAAATATTGTATCCAAGAACAAATCAATACACTATACTATTTAGTCCTCAGACAGATTTTTGGTGAATGCTTAAGGAAGATCCTTGTGCTCTGTTTTCTCTTGCCCGTATACCCGGATTTTTGCTGTCCAGCCTTAAATCTGATACCTTTTACCCTATACCTCTTCTGTGCCTTCACCTGTCTTCTTAGTTTGTTCAAAGACTATCATGTGTTTCTGAGGCTGATATTCTCAGGACTCCCTGGTACACTGACCACCCAACCCAGGCCACTCCAGCTCTGCTGTGACCTCCTTCTCCACTCAGGCTCCCTGATGTAGGTGGTATCTCTTACTGTTCTTGGGCAAATTAACTTTTAAGAAGGTTCATCTGTTGATGAAAACCCCATTGCACTGGTATTATTTGCATAACAAAAAAGATCATACCTACTTTAAAAGACTGAAGAAGTAAGACTTATTTTCTTACAGGACAATATTCACCCACCTTGCTCTCTCATCTTTAAGTTATTTATACATCTTAAATGCATGATTTATGATTTCAGTACTGTAAGCCAGTCCTTACATTGATAGTTATACCTAATTATTCTATCTTGTCTTACAGCGTTCTTTACAACATTTCAGTTTATGCATTTTTGGCACATCCACCATGGCTGAAGCCATTGTGTATTACAGGGATAACAACTGCAGTGATATAAAAAATGATATTTTATGAAAGCAAAACAGAAACCGGTCATGAAAATGAGTTAAGAAATATTAGGCTGGGTGGTGAAACTGGGAGGGAAGAAATGTAAGGGTTTAGGCATGCATCCCTAGGTTAGAAATCACTGGAGAGAATAAAATTTAGAAGGTCCTGTCAGCAGTTTGTGTTAGAGATTAACAGTTACTGTGACTTTGGATATGATAGAGAGATAATAGAAAACAATCGTGCCCATAGTCATCTCTATTCTGATCCATACTGCCTTGACAAAATATGTGTGAACAGAAAAATACAGCTACATGCAAGGCAGGAGTAGAGATGAAGTGAAATCAGAATAAAAAGAAGCAACATATTTTAAAGCCATAAATGCGAAAGGAAAAAAAGGAAAAGATAAACCAGTGCTCTCTTAAATAAAGAATTTTGACAAAAAAAAAAAGACTCGTTACTGGAAGAGGAAAAGTGACCATTTTGGTTATATCTCAGGAACAATTAATGAAAAATGAACTGTGGGATTTTTTGTCATTGTATTTGGAAACATTAAAAGTTAATGTCACTAATAAAGTGGTAAAGGGTATACAGGTGCTATTTTATCACAGCCAGCGTATGCGGAGAAACAGAGGTCAGCAAAACGTTAAAAGGCAGATATGACTTACTCTGACTTTAATTTGCTTTCAAAAACGTGGTCACTGACTCTTTAAATCACAAGCCAATTACAAGCATTGTAGTGCCATTACTAATTACATGCTGACAGTGTAAATTTAAAAATGGCAATTTCAATTTTCAGTCATTGGGAGAATGCAGGAAAATGAAAATGAATACTAATTAGTTCATGTGTGTCAGACACCTGAAAGATTAAAGAAAAAAACTCTGCACTCATTACAAGTGAGTTATAAGCAAAGCACTCAAACCTTCCATTTACCAAGCTGCATATAAATAAAGAAATTAAATGACAAAGAAAATTGATAATGATGGAACAAGGCAAAAATAGCCACAGGCCTGTACATAATTATACTTTGGGGGGCTTTGCCCATACACACAGTTTCCTTTAAAATTTATCTAGCATTAGAAACTCAGGCTATTGCTTCAGGTTTATTGACCTAAATGTTAAGTTACATTTCCTAAAAATGGAGTTTCTGCTTTCGTAACTTTCCACTTAATCTCTGCTGAACATTCGCACTGTTTTTCAGGAGACATCTTCTGGACCAGCTGCTTTGTCACCAACATGGAAAAGGTCCCATACACAGACCCCCCACATTAGGATCTGGGAAGAAGCTGGGACATGACAAGAAAGTGAAAACTCAGAGTAGGCTGTGTTAGAAGGAGCATTTCTCTCACAAGACCAGAGGAGGGTAGCTAGAAACTTAGCACAAATGAGAGTGGGCTGACTTTTTGTAACCTTCGACAAATACTTACGAAGTATCTCCCTGGACCTCACTGAAGCTGTGCAGAAATAAGATACGGGATTTCTACTTCTCCTCTCAACAAAAACTGTTCACCCATATAAGGGTCAGGCAGTGTCTGCCTCTTACAGTGTATTTCATGCTTGAAGAACAACACAGAGCTATGATGTGAAGAGCTACTATACAGTGCAGAAAGTGTGAGTTTGTGGAGGTCTGTATCCTTGACAAATCAAAACAGCATTTCTGCAGAACACTAAACCCCACTTTATCACTACAACTATCATCTCCCTGCAAAAATTTACTTTCCCAGTGTTTTAAGGAGAAAAGTCTTCAGACAAGGAAAAAAAAAATCTTTAAGATTTAAACTTTTGTTTTTAAATTATAAAAAGTATTTTTAATTTTGCACTGAACTAAAAAGAAAAATAAAATTCTCAGCAAGTTTTGTGAAAATTATAGAACAAAGTTTATTTTAAAAGAAAAATGAGATGAAGAGAATGCTAGGCACTTAGCACAGATGAATTGTACCACTTAATTAGTGAAAGTCCTTAAATACTGTAGCTGTTACAATTACAGAATAACCTGCATGGGATTCGTGAGACCTAGACTAGATCATTAATTCCAAAAAAGAACAAATTGTTCAAACGTGATGCCACGGGCTGAGATTGTAACACATTTTCTCCATTGGTCCAACTTTCCTTTCAGGTAAGAGCAAAGACCTCCCTGGGAGCAAAGTCCATCCTAACGCTGGTCTGGATAGAAACCTGCGCAGCTGCCCGACAGCTGCCTCCGCGCTGCGTGGTGGCTTTGCCAAGTACAAACGTGGAAGCAACAGACCATTAGCCATCCCCATCCTGTTCATCTCCTAGTAAAGACATGTCTAGAGGGCCTGTGCTAAATGATTCTGAATTTCTTCTCCAGCTCATTTAATAAAGCCCACACTCAAAAGCAGCCCAAAAGCTACTCTAACACTGGCTTTTTCATTACCCATTAAAGTTACATTAGCTTTCTACTCCTGTGAAAATAATTCTGCTCAAGTCCCTTAGCGTTATTCTTTCCAGTTCTTTTTCAATGTATAAATTTTACAGACTTCCTAACCCCTCTGGTCTTTACGGAAGAAAGCTGACTTAAGATACATTGAAGGGCCGCTGTGTTTTCACTCTGCAGTGAATAACAAACAGTAACACCGACTTCATTTTTCAGAACTGACAAAATGCAGCACTCTCACCACACCAGTTTTAGAAAACTTCATCAAACAGCACCTGGTGCCTGCTCTCCAAACAAGAAAAATGAACAGGTAACCCTGAATGCTTTTCCCCCACATATTTGGGAACCACTTAGACAAAGAACAAGCAGTAGTCAGTATAAAAGCTTGAATACGAACAAAAATGATGCCATTTACATGAAGGTACCTTCAAGAAGAGTGTGTCTGAAATACCTGAGGGACATATGGACAGTTGAACCTAGCACTGGCAGACAAGATGCTCAGGTACCATCTCATACTACTCCTGTGGTGAGTTCACTGGGAGGGAAGCACCATCTACACATATTGACCATACTGATGAGTGAAAAAGTTTTCCCGTAAGTACCCAACATCACCTTTCTTAACTAACAGCTCAAAATGCAAAAGCTTAGCCCAATTCACATATCATGAAAAGAAAACACCATAAAATTAAAGAGCTACAGCAATCACTAGATAATCATTATCTCCATTAAAATACAGCCACTAAACTTCACTGCTTCATGACTTTGACTGAAGTAATTTGCTGAGTGCAGAGAAATCCAGTCCACAATGAGGGCACTGCCATTTGAATCATTCTAGAGATAACCTCCTCGAGCGGGAATGAAAAAACATGTATTTTCAGCCCCATGGATGTGGTTGAACTAACAGCTATTTCAACCTTAATTAAAGCAGTTCTTGTTACTTCCAGCATGATGCACACAGTGCTTAACCAGTGTGCCCAGAGCAGCTCAGCAGAGGACAAACTATTCCTGAAGGCTCTAGTACAGCCAATTCCGCATTAAAGCACTCTAGAATGATGCCCAAGGAAGGCTGCATGTGTCAAAGTATCTCTACCAAGAGATATTGCTGTGAAATGCTACCAAGGACCTAATGAGCAAATTCAATGTATGTGGAAAGCAGCTTCCCTGAAAAGTCTTTATAAATTTGCTTCCATGGTTTAGAGCCACAGTGGAACATATTCACACATTTTTTAAATACAAAGATTTGTGCATTTGTAAAGCCAAGATTATTACTGGTTTGCAACTAAACAGTCCCTTGTAGTCTAGGCTACATTTTTGACAGTGAAGAAGAACCTAGCTATTAGATCACCACTTGTCTTCATCAGTTTCTTAAGTAACTCTGCCAATTGAATCAAGGAGATTTTTTTTTCTTCTCAGCTCCATCTGTTACCTGAATCCATGGCCATCTGTCATTTTCTGCAGCCGTCCAAGCATTCACAAGACCCTTCTTATTAAGTCGTGCATAGTATGGATACCATTTCTGGAGTCCAAAAAGAGCTCGATGAGTGGATGATGCAGTAATTTGTTGGTTTGACACAATCCCTCCTTCTATCCCTAGTGGGCCAGAGCATCCTGCAAATGGAAACAAGAAAGGAAATGAATGTAACTGAAGTGATCAACTCTTCTGAATCCCAAGTGGCTGTAATTACAAATAGCCTACAAACAGATCGAAAATATCTTATCAAATACATTATTAGAAGAGATATAAAGCAGTGGAGTAGCATCTTCTTTTTGTAGAAATGAAAAAAAAAGCTGAAAAAAGAGGGAAAAGTACCAAAATAGTACTCCGAAATAACTCTTCCTATTGCAAAATTAATGAAATATAGTTTTCTTCTAGTTTGTTCTGTCTGAAGAGTTGTGAGTTTGAGTTTTATGGATACAATGAAAGAAAATGATCCCTAGACTGAAATATCGAAACAATTGCTAAAAGCAAATGCAAGGTTCTGTAATTACTGCAAAGTTCCATATTACTACTCCTGCCATAGAGGTTAGCAATTGTCCAACACACTACAAACTGTTGTCACAGTTATCTTTAAAAACATGAAACTAGACACATTACATTGTTGTTACATTAAAAATAGTTAAAAGGTCTTATATATTCAATCAGCAACCCACAAAGTATTTAACTGTGATGTTCAGGTTTTTATAATTTTCTGTGTGGTATTAATTTATTCACCTGAAATACTTGTAATCTTTTTTAAAGTCAAGATGCTTCTGCATACATTGTTTTCTGAAGCCACTCCATTTGGGTACAGGAACAAGAGCATGTAGTTAGTGCGAGCAATGCAAATAGAAAATTTCGAAAATTAATTCTATACAAGTGGCTGGCAGTCTAACTACTACTGAATACCCCCAACCACTTGCAAGTAGGGGATTTTTTTTTTCTTAATTCTGATAGAATGTATAAAGAGATGCTAACTGTAGGAACTCCTGTAGCAGCTGATCTTGCTTAGTTGACGAAAAGATCTTCTGCTCTGTGGGTCAACTGCACTTCAGCAATTTTGAACACAACAGAACAGACATTTACCAACACTTTAGGTTTTCTCAGAAGCCTGGCAGTGTTTCACCCCAAGCAGTACCCAAGAATGAACTTCATAAATGGTACTGCTATGAAATCCTTACACCACAGGGGCAGAAAAATCACAAACAATTTAATTCTTCATTAATTTAAAGGTACAGAGGACTAAAAGCGAGCAGTGCAATTTGCTCCTCTTGGCAGAAGCTGAGGCAGAGAGACAGTGCTGGGAGTCCCTGGCTATACAGTCCCCAGGTATTGTGTGTCACTGATAATGGAGATAAATATAAACTAAACTACAGTTCTAGGTTGATTATGGAGCAAGGGCCATGGACAAGCACGTGCTTGCACTCTGAAAAGATAAACCAAAACCCCCATACAGGTGAGGCTGTGAATGTGTTCCTTCTTAAGTGCAAAAACTGACTTCCAGGATAGGCTTAAATGAAATCCTGGCCCTACTGAAATTAGTGACTGACTTGCTCCATACTATCATTTCACCCATATTTTTAACAGTCCATGAAGCTCAGCTAGAATCCAAAGTCTTAGTGCTACTTTTCTGTGCCATACATCACCCAACAACAAAGGCGGTGCGTTCAGCACTTGACTAATAACTCTGTTCATGCTGCACAAAACATAACAAAATGTAGCTCTCTCCTGCTGTTGTGCCAGGTGCGTAGTAGCCAGAAGAAAACAAATTCTTTGTCACCAGCACAGGCAGGCACAATACAGGATGCATTAAAAAAACCCATGTATGTTGGAAAACTGTCATTTTTCATTGTGTTATCAAGCATTACTTAAAAATGGAAAGATCTATTCAAATCTTAGCTCTGTTTCTTAAATCTTTTCATCTAATTAGAATAAATTCCTTTGATGTGTAAGTTGCCGTATCTGCTTGCAAGCCAGAGGTAAAGTACTCTATGTTCCTGAGAAAATTGCCTATTTTCAAAAGTTTCGTATATTTGCCTGTTAAAATTTCTTTGTCACTTGATAATGGAAAAAAGAATTGCACACGGGTATGTCTATATGTATGTGTAACTCACACACACACACACACACACACACACACACACACACACATAAAGGACTGATTCCAGCTTACCCTGAAATTAACCTCCCCCAACAGTTGGTATCTTAGATTGATAATTATTTAAAAATTAGAGATGTGAGAAAAATGAAGAGACGTTTCCAAGAGGAGCTTAAAAGGGAGGCATGGCAGGTATTTTAATATGGATGTGGATCATGCAGCTGTGTTCTCCCTCCTCATGGTGAGGAGCACAGGGATGAGGATCCTGCCACGCCTGCTGCCATTATTCAGTGACCTAACACGAAAATGTGTTCACAAGGACAGGGACAGTTTTGAATGGGGTCCAGAATAAGGGTATTTGGCTTTAGCAGATAGTTTTCAAAACAACAATGTATAATTGATGCCAAGTCCCTTGATCTCCTGTAGACATCCCAGTTTTGGCAGACTTGGAAGAGATGTGGGTGTCCACTTTTTGCCTATCAGTCTCTGTTTAAGGTGTAGGACACTGTGGAAAGGTTTGATTTGAAGGTGTGTGATTACTGAGATGCATTAGTAGAGTACAGATTAGACCCAGTACAGATGCATTAAATGGTATTTGTAATATGTGTGAGTTCCTTACAGAGAAAGGTGAATTTTCCTTTCTAAATTGATGCACTTAACAGCACTTAACAGCACTTAACTCTACTTTGTCAGCTATGGCCATACATGTTCAGAAGTGTTTACCTTCCTTAGTTTAAGGAGGATTATTCCTGAAATCCAAAGCAAATCTCTACCTTCAGGGAATTAGGTACTTCATTGTACAAGCTTCCTATTTTAATTGCAATTCCAGTCTTGGTTTGCCATGTTTGTCAGTTTTAAAATGTGAGTTAAACACAAAATTTACCACTCCTAAAAAACAAAACTAGGTTTCATAGCCACATCATTCTGTATTTCAAGACATTTTAAAAACTCCCCCATCCTTTTTTAATAATGCTACAGTACATCTCTTAAATTATCAGAACATTTTGCTATCCTTCTTTTTTACTGAACAGACAGGAAGGACTTCAGCAGAGGTTTTGCTAGGACTCTGATTCAGGTCCTTCCACTGTTAAAACTGCCCATGTACCCACCCTTTAGGTCTTTATTTTTACTCAGACATTCTACAAGACAACATTATAATTTCTTTTATTAGTTGAAAGGAAAAGGAATAGTTGAATTTTTGGATAGTCAAATACCACACAGCACATGGACTTCCCCTAGCCATATGCTCATTAATTTCTTCCAAATTCTCCAATAGGTTTGTTAGTCATGCTTTCTCTTTACAGAAGCTCTAATGGGGCTATTACTCTCCAAATTCCCAAGAAATTTACTTTGCCTGAAAACTCTCAGCTGAATAACCTATCCCAGGTTCCATCAAATATGTTGTATCAGTAAAATACTAGTTACAGACTAGCTTCAGCAACAGTTACTCAATTTGAGACACAAACAAGCAAATGCAGATTTTGGAGTTTGTTTGTCTTTTTAATAAAACAACATACATATTTTGCAGAACAAGTGCAAGCTGTATTATATTTCATTGTTATACATCTGCTCCTATTAAATCCACAGTTCATTTAACAAAAATCATGACAGCTTGGGAAACTGCAGTCTCCAAAGGAGTAATAATATCACTACAGTGACTGTACAATTCATTCTGGTCAATGTCAGTCATTAAACAGAAAACCATTTTTATTAGTTAATGCTGACACACTGGGGTATGACAATCAACTTGATGTAAGAAAGTTAAAAAAGTAAAACAACAATTAAGAATCTGCTTGAGAGGCTCATAATACAGCTTCACAAGGAAGATGTTGTCATTCAGAGCAGTTATTTTAGTATCATTAAATAGCAAAACACTAACTCAAGCAATATTGGTTTTAATCCTATACTGACAATTGGCATGCACTAAATAAAACCTGATTGATGCTTCTTCTGCTCTTATCAAACCCAAGCCTATGCCCAGAATGCCCCGTTGTCCATGAAGATGACAGAATGCAATGATATATCAACAGCTACATAACTGTGAGCAGATCCAATGAAGGATGGGAAAAGACAACCACACAGGAAAAGTGAAGGATTCATATACAGATTTTCAGTTCTCCTAAGAATCCCCACCAACTCACATGAAGATGGCATGGTTATAAACTGCTTCAAAGGCTTCTTTTACAATCTCAGACTTAACTACATCTGAAATATTATGTACCATTTTGCATCACAAAGCAAATTATCATTAGTCCAGATTTCACTTGTAGACCAAGTGTATGGGGATCAAATAGCTTCCCAAACAAAAGATGAGTTCTGTGTCTCTTACAACAATAAATCCCTCCAGCTGAATAAAAACATTTGTGCAAAAGGAAATAGAAGAAGTTGACAGCTTACTGTGTTTTACATTCATACCTCTTCAGAGGTAAATTACAGTGGGAAAATACGTCACTGATTCCCCCTCTAACAGGGGAAGGACAAACCATTTTAAGATAAATAATTACTACAGTAGGAGATAATAAGCAGAAAGCACTGGGTAGACATGTTACTTGAGTATACTTAGTTTGGACTTCTACATTTATCTAAATCCACAAATCAAGCAAAAGCTCCAAATGGATTAAAAATTGGTTGAAAATGTGAGGATTATGCCTCTGCAAACAGAAGAAAAAGATTTCTTGTAACTGACAATGAAACATGCCTGATTTTGCAGCATGAATATATAGCTTTCGTTTCCTTCTGTTGGTTTGTCTCTAGCTAAAGACATCAAAACAAACAGATGCAGAACTGAAGGCATGCAGAAAACAAATCTGCTTTAGACATCTGCAATCCTGTCTTTCTCCAAGCACCTCATTTTCTGGAACGAGATTACCCTGGCTGTGTTTAGCATAGCACAGTAATTGTGCTGAACACAAACCCTGACAATGGGATTACAGACGACCTCTGATACTGCAGTAATTAATGTCGATACATGCATAAACTCCCCAACATGCGATCTAGGCTTCAGCCTTCCATCTCTTCTTGTTCCTCCTGTCT